TCTATCACATCAGGTTTTTGAGATATCAAATATTGCATTTTCAATAAAAACTGCAGAAGAAAATATTAAATAAATGTGGATATCTACATAAAATGATATTATAAACACACTATCCTAAAAATACAGCACCGTATTTTAACACTAAAGCAGTCACTGACTCGCAACAACTTGCAATCATAAGTGACGGAGTTAATTTCGGGTAAAATCAATGAAAATGGGGTATGCCGATAGCATAAAAATGAGATGTGATAGAGCAAATCTGAGACCAGGTTTGGAATCGGCACCCTGAAATTAGTCTATAACAGCTGCAAAAGTCCAGGCCAGAAAAAAAACGTTTTTTGTTGTTGTTGACCAGTGTAATATATTATTTGTCAATAAAAATCTATCAAATAATCGAAAATTTCAAGAAATAATTGTAATGTAATCGTGACTGCGATTCGTTAATAATCATGATACTCCTCACTCCAAAGCGCTTCGTAGATGTTTTTACTTCCTTATATTTTATCTTTGTCTAAGTGAAAAAAACTAATTCTGGACGACAGAGTGATGTGACGGATCAGATTTGGAATCGGCACCCTGAAATTAGTCTAGAACAGCTGCAAAAGTCCAGGCCAGAATTTTTTTTTTATTTGTTGACCAGTGTAATCGTCACCGGTGCTGTTGACCGTGAGTGGGAGTCGAACTCGCACGCCAACTCTCAAGCCCTCTCGACGTTGTGGCCTCGACTGTGGGTTGTGGCCACTCCCGTGGGTTGTGGTCACCCCTGTGAATTGTGGCCGTGAGTTGGCACATCACGGGGTGGGGTGTGGGGCAGAGGTCGCAAACGGGTTTTGATTCCTTACCCGTACCCGTACCCGGCCGCACCAGGGTCACAAATGGGTACCCGTTCCCTACCCGTACCCTACCCGAAATGAGTGACAAACGGTTACTCACCAGTGACTCACTGCCTACCCGTACCCGTACCCGACCACACCAGGGTCGCAAACGGGTACCCGTACCCGGCCGGGTACGGGTAGCCGGGTATCAGGTAGGGTACAGGTATCGGGTACCCGGTTGCGACCTCTGGTGTGGGGTGGGCAAAGGCGGGTGGCATCGTGCCAGGAGTCATCTCGGTCGGTCAAGCCCGTGGGCGCCTGCCAGGGCGTTCGGATACTTCACGTGGTGGCCTTAACGTGCACCTAGCCTGGCACAGGTTGTTGTTGTTGGTGGTGCGCTGCATCCACTCTGCTCCCTGCCTGCCCTGCGTTGGGGCCGCACACGAGTCACAGGGACAGGTGGCCAAACAATGGACAAAGGCAAACACGGCCTCAATTGATACGAGCAGATGTTTGTGTGTGTGTCTTGTGCGTGCGTGGTGATGTGTGTGTGTGTCTGTGTGTGTGTGCAAGTGTGGGTGTGTCCGCGTGTGCATGTCTGTGTGTCTGTGTGTGTGTGTGCATTGTGGGGAGCGGTGGTGTAGTGGTTAGCGCTACGCTGCGCTACGAACCCGGTGACCCGAGTTCGATTCCCGCTCACGGTCAACACCGGTGACGATTATCTGAATCAGTCGTGGGCCTCCCCTAGGTCGACTCAGCCTCAAATGAGTAGCTCGTGCGGTGTGTAAACATCGCCACCGTGGAGACAAAGGCGGTCGGGCGTGGTTCTGGCCACCCACCCCCTCGTGTACCGTGCCGGCCTTCATAGGTACTCGCTAACAGCACTTGCCCCAGCAGTCTGTTAAGGCTACACGGGAGATATTTGCGTACGCGTTGGGGAGTGGTGGTGCAGTGGTTAGCACCCTTGCACCACGATCGTGGCAACCCGAGTTTGATTCCCAGACACGGCCAACATCACATCGGTGGCGAGTGGCAATCTGCAAACCTGTCAACATTCGTACTGGGGAGACAAAGGCGGTCGGGCGTGGTTTTCCGACCACACCACCCCGCCGTGTGGCATGCCAACCTTGGCAACACCATCACTGTCAACTCCTTATCAGCAGTGCGCCCCCTACCTTATTACGACCCAATTCAGACCGTATTGGTCACCCCGTGCCCCTTATACATCTCAACGTTCATCCTATACAATACACTATACACTACTATACACTACTATACACTACACCAGACTATACACTACACTATACACTACACTATACACTACCATACACTACTATACACTACACTATACACTACACTATACATTACCATACACTACACTGCTATACACGACACTATACACTACACTATACAATACACTATACACTACTATACACTACACTACTATACGTTACACTATACACTACACTATACAATACACTACACTATACACTACACTATACACTACCATACACTACTATACACTACACTAGACTATACACTACACTATACACTACACTAAACTCTACACTATACACTACCATACACTACTATACACTACACTAGACTATACACTACACTATACACTACACTAAACTCTACACTATACACTACACTATACACTACCATACACTACTATACACTACACTAGACTATATACTACACTATACACTACACTACTAAATACCTGTGAGCCCCTTATTCGTGCCATACCTAATTAGAGACCAATTCAGACCGTACTGGTCACCCTGTGTCCCCTATAAATCTCAACGTTCATTCTACAAAGTCCCCATCGCGAGGGAGAAACACAAACAAATAGACACATTTTTTTACCCGCATTGAAACCGCTGTACACCGTATGGACCTGAAAACTCAATTTCTCTGCACAAGAACACGGGGCAAACCGTGTGGGTTGACAGGTTTGCGACACCGGGTAGCTGACGAGAAATATTCCGTTCTTCTTAGGGGCCGTCCATAAATGACATCATTCGATTTTTGACGATTTTTTACCCCCCCCCACCCCTCGTCACACGGCGTCACAAAAAGTCAGACCCCCCCCTCAAATATGACGTCACAAAGCTATGCCCCCCCCCCAAAAAAAAAAAACATGCTTCAAATCGCTTTAAACTATTGTCAATGTAGTGTGTATTTAATGTGGCGCTGCACTCTGATGTTGTAGGAGAAAACATTTATTAGAAAGTCTATTTAATTAAGTAGAACGTGTTGTCTATATTTATTTAAAGTTGCGCATTTTGATGTGACGTCACATTTCTCAACCCCCCCCCCCTCCTTCATCACACATCGTCGCAAATGTCTGACCCCCCCCTAAGGTGTGTGACGTCATTTATGGACGGCCCCTAAACAGAACGTGCCAATTCGTGACTAGTACAGCACTAACCGGCGCGTTGGATTTGTGGGGGGAAATGACTCCACAAATGTGTCTGTCGCCTGATGATGCCGGCTGTAATCACTCTGCAGCACTAATCGGCGGGCGCTGTACGAGTTACGAATTGTCACGCTCCGTTTGACGTGACAAACCTCGCTGATTGGCTGCGTCGGGTGGTGGCGGGTTTAACGACACGTGTTTATATTTACGTGGTGTCGCTAACGATTGAAATCCAAAGGGGCTTCCAAGGAAGAACTACAACTGCGTCCGAGGGTACACGTGTGTGAGACGAATTCAACGTAGAAATTGTGAAAGAAAATATTGTGTAATGGGAGGGGGTGAGATGACAGAGACCTCAGGATTGCTCTGAGGTCTGCCAAAACGTCTCCAGAAAAGAAAAAATTTGCAAAGGAAAACGTCCCCACATCTGTAGGGCGATTCCGTAATTCCGCTCACTCAATACTCGCACACACAGACACAACACAGACACAAAAAGATCAAAGATCCCCCATATAGCCTCAACAGACTGTAGGGGAAAGTGCTGTTAGCGAGCACCTATGAAGGCCGCAACGGTACACGAGGGGGTGGGTGGCCAGCACCACGCCCGGCCGTTTTTGTTCCCTCAGTTGCATGTTTACACGATCACACCAGGTTCTCATTTGAGGCTGAGTCGACCTAGGGGAGGCCCAGGACCGGTTCAGATAATCATCACTGGTGTTGGTCATGAGCAGGAATTGAACTCGGGTCGCCAGGCTCTTAGCGCAGCGTGCTAACCGCTACACTACCACGCGAGCACACACGCGCACACATGCACACACGCACACAGACGTGCACACGCACACAGACGTGCACACGCACACAGACGTGCACACGCGCACACGCATACACACGCGCCACGCTCTCCCCTCCTGCCATTGATCACATCTGGCCACACATCTGCGAGTGAGCGTGCGAGAGAGAGGAAGATGTGAGACCCCCATAGCTTTACCAGCCAGCGGATTCATATCCGCTGGAGGGGTTTTCGGTTGGCCCAACCGCATCCATCCGAGAGCCAAACACCAAGGCATCATAAAAGACCATCGCGGAATTACCAAAGGCCATCACGGCCCATCACGGAACCATCAAACAAGCATCAAAGACCATCACGGACCATCAAAGGCCATCACGGACCCATCACAGAACCATCACAGAACTTCCAAAGACCATCACGGACCCATCACAGAACTTCCAAAGACCATGACGGCCCATCACGGAACCATCAAATAATCATCAAAGACCATCATGGATTAATTATCAAGACCATCACGGAGCCATCACGGACCCATCACGGAACCATCATGGAACAATCACATAATCATCAAAGACCATCACGGACCATCACCGAACCATCACGGGACCATCACATAATCATCAAAGACCATCATGGATTATCAAAGACCATCACGGACCCATCACGGACCCATCACGGAACCATCAAAGACCATCACGGACCACCTCAGACCCATCACAGAACCATCACGGAACCATCACAGACCCACCAACACAATCACAGAACCGGCCCCACCAAAGACCATCACGGAACCGGTTGAGGCATCGCTCACCGCGACCGACGTTGGCCGCGGCCAGACAAATCGAACTCGGTGCGCCAGGCTTTGGCGGCGCGCCGCGCCAACCGCCGTGCCACCGTTGCGCGCGTTGTCATGAACACAACAAACACAAACGGTGGCTCTCGAGTGCAGCGACGGTGCGGAAGCTCTCACCAGGCGCTCCGTCTCCTGCTCGCGGAGCCGCTCGTCGCGGTGCCTGCGGTGGTACTGGCGCAGCTCCGACTCGTCCCCGTCGCGGATCTCAGAGATGCTGCCCTTGCGCTCCCGCAAGCGCGGCGGAGACGCCGGCACCGTTATCGCCGCCGCCTTCCCCCCGTCATCCACCTCCTCCTCCGGCGGGAGATCCCGTTCGGAATCCGAACCGGCGGAACGATCGAGGGCCGTCGGTCGTCCCCCGTCCGGCTTTGCCGCGGTTGCGATTGAGGTGGTTGCGGCGGTTGCGGCGGTTGCAGTGGGCGACCTCATCGTCATCGTCAGACTCGACGACAGATTCGGCGAGAGTGGCGCCGGCGGTCGCCTGCGTTGCAGCGCGGGGCTCCGGCAGGGAGACCGGGGCACGGGTGGCGTCGTCGCTGTTGTTGTTGACGCTGCCGCCGCTGTTGTTGTTGTTGACGCCGGGATCTTCACCTTGGTCGCGACGCTGAAGGAGCCGACCGGCGTGCCCGAGGGGACGATGATGCCGCGGCGGCGGCTTCGTGGTCCAAAATAACGAGGCCTTCTCGTGCACCGCTGCCACTATCACCACCACCACCACCACCGCCGGACCGCCGTATGAACGCCGGACTGGTGAAGACGCCTCCGAGGCGTTTGCCAACCGAGGGGCACGACTCTGGCCCGGCCAGCGCCGGCGAAGCCGCGGCCTTGCGGCTCGACTTCGGGCTCAGAGGAGGCAGCGTGTCCAGAGGGCGCGGCGGTTGCTGCTGCTGCTGGTGGTGACCGTAATCGGGGCTGAGCAGGGAGCGAGGGGACCCGTCGGGGCCTACGCCCGCAGGCTTCGCCTGAGGCTGACCCCAACGCTGGCTGCTCTGGACGCCCAAAGTCGGAGAGCGGCCTTCCAAGGCTCCGCCACCACCGCCGCCGCCGCCGCGCGCCACGAGTCTTCTTGCCGATGACGGCGAGTGCGGCGGCTGCTGCTGCTGCTGCTGCTGCCACCTCGAGGGACCCTGTGGGGAGGCGAGTGAGATGGGGAAGCAGCCGCGGCGCGAGGCCTCCGGGCTGGCAGGCGGGGTGGTGGCCGATCTCCTCGCCGCCCGTGGGGAGAGCGGCACGGGCCCGGCCGCCGTGGCCGCCCCCCCGCCCCTCTCCAGAGAAGCCCTGGGGAGCCTCGGGCTTGGAGGGCTCTCCGGCGAGAAGCCTGGGAAGCAGGCCGCAGCGGCGTTGGCATTGGCGCAGCCGCCACTCTCCGGTGGCACTCCGCCGATGCCGCCGCCGCCCTGGCCGGGTTTGGCGTGCGCAAGGTGAGGCCGCTCCATGGGCGCGTCCCGGATCCGTCGCCTCGGCGCGCGGGGGCTTTCGGCCCTGGCGGCCGGCGCCGCCGGCATAGCCGTCGCCACGGGGGGGGCGGCCGCGGCAGCACGGAAGCCGTTGGCGGAGCGCTGCGAAGTAAAGTTGTAGCTGGAGGAGCGGGCGGGCACGGGCGGCGTGCCGTGGTTGTCGTTGGAACTTGACGACGACGAGGGCGACGATGGCGACGACGAGGCGGACGCCAGGTTGTCGTAGCATGAGCCGGAGAGGGAGACGCGTTCCGGGCTCGAGGGAGGGGAGCACGGTACGCCGCGGGGCTGCTGCTGCTGCTGGTGGTTGTTGTTGCCGTTGTCCGGAGCGGAGGCGACGCTGGTGAAGGAGGCCGGCGTGAGAGGGGCGCCGGAGGCTGTGTTGCTCTCCAGCGTGAGCGAGTCGATGATGTCCTGGGGGTGTGGGAGGGGTGGGTGGTGGCGGGTGGAGGGGGCGGTGGTGATGGTGCCAGATTTCGAGTGAGCGGGTACCGTGCCAGCAAATGACGGGGCCGCGTGTGCACTCTGCTTCAGCCGGAGTTTAAATAATAACAACGATGATTATGAATTAATAATCGTCAACAACATAATCATCACCACCATCACCGTCAAGCCAACTCATATCGAATAAAGGCGACTTCCACAATGCAAATATCGATTTAAAGCTTTCGTGACTGCAGGGATTCATCTTCTTGGTTCTTTCGGTAAAGTCACGTAAAAGGGAAATAATAGAATAATAAAAGTGAGTATTGTATTTTATTATATTTTTATTTTGATTCTTTTATTATTTCCCTTCTACGTGACTTAACCGAAAGAACCAAGAAGGCATATTTCTCATCAGCGACCAGGCAAAAACCTCCTACGTGTTTCATAGAACGGCATCTTCACCTGCAGGTCCTGCTCGATGGAGCAGGCGTTGAGGAGTTTGTCTCGAGCGCCGGCCCGTCCTGCTGGCGCACCGTCCCTGCGCCGGGCGTCGTTGCCGTTCACCGAGCTCATGGCGTCTGCTCACACGCGGCAAAGGTAAAGGTTCCCCCAAAGCCTCAACAGACTGTTGGGGCAAGTGCTGTTGGCTAGCAACAGCTGTGAAGGCCGGCACGGCGCACGAGGGGGGGGTGGGTGGCCAGCGCCACGCCCTGCCCGCCTTTGTCTCCCCCAGTAGCGTCGTTTGCTACAAACCGCACCGGGTACTCATTTGAGGCTGAGTCGACCTAGGGAAGGGCCCAGGACCGGTTTAGATAATCGTCACCGGTGTTGGCCGTGAGCGGGAATCGAACTCGGGTCGCAAGGTTTATAGCACAGCGGGCTAACTGCTACTGCTACACTACCGCTCCCCACTACGCACGCACACACATGCGCGCATGCACACACGCACAGGCACACACACACACACATGCACGAACAGGCACGCACACGCGAACAGGCACGCACACACACGAACAGGCACGCACACGCGCACACGCACGCACACGCGCACACGCACGCACCCACAAACGTGCCCGCACACACACGAACAGGCACCCACAAACGCACGCGCCCGCACACACACATGAACACGTATGTGCATGCACACACAGACATGCACACTCAACACATGGTGATGATGATGAGAATCATAGCAATGACGTGAATGGTATTGACTTTGATGATGTTGTTGACGTTGTCGTTATTGTTGGTGTTGTTGTTGTTGACGTTGGTGTTATTGTTATTATTGTTGTTGGTGTTGTTGTTTGTGTTATTGTTGCTGTTGTTATTGTTAATGCTATTGTTGTTGTTGTTGACGTACGTGACGGGGCGGCGGGCGGGTTCGCCGACGGGGCCAGCATGCTGCGAATTCTCACCGCCTCGTCCGGATGATTGAAACGGAAGAAGTTCCACTGTCCGAGACAAAGCATGCAGCCTGTGTACACACACAGATACACACACAGACACACACACACAGACACACACACACAGACACACACACAGACACAAACACACACAGACACCCACACACGCAGACACACATACAGACACACACACACAGGGGAACAGGAGAAGCAGTTAACACACAACCAAAGACAAAGATCCCCCGTGTAGCCTTAACAGACTGTTGGGGCAAGTGCTGTTAACGAGTAGCAGCACCAATGAAGGCCGGCACTGGCACACGGGGAGGGGGGTGGCCAGTACCGCGCCCGGCCGCCTTTGTCTCCCCAGTGGCGATGTTGCTTACTACACACCGCACCAGGTACCCATTTGAGGCCGAATTGAACCTAGTTTCAAACAAAGACAAAGATCCCCCGTGTAGCCTTAACAGGCTGTTGGGGCAAGTGCCGTTAGTAGCGAGTAGTGGCACCTACAAAGGCCGGGGGGTTGGGTGGCCAGCACCACGCCCGTCTGGCAGTGATGATGGGCCGCATCAACCCCCCACTCCCCACCCCCCCCGCCTCCCGCGATCAGGAGGTGAACTCTTGACCCTTCCGACCGCTGCGATCCACTCGATGGCCCGGCCACACGAACGGCTACACCACGAACGCTGCACTGACTTCACTCTAATCTCGGCGTCTCTCCCTAACCCTCTTCCTCACCCTCTCTCTCTCTTTTTTACAATCAGTGGAAACAAGAAGATGCTCGGTGTAGTCGGCACTTTGCTTCATTCATCATTTCGTATTTTATTTTTAAAATAATAACTTTGCTTTATGTAAACCCCCACCCCTCTCGCTCGCTCTCTCGCTCGCTCTCTCGCTCGCTCTTCTCGCTCACTCTCTCGCTCACTCTCTCGCTCACTCTCTCGCTCACTCTCGTTCTGCACGCAGCCCTTCTCGCAGTCAGGCGGCCTCCGACGGGTAGCTCATAACTGCATGCAGAGCTCCCCGTCATCTGCCACCGTCTCTCTAACCCTCTCCATGACCAACCCTCTCCATGACCAACCCAACTGGGAGTTGAACTCTCGACCTCCCGAGCGCCACGAGCCGCTGGCCGTGCCGCCACCGGCGCCGCGGTGGAGATGAAGCCAACAAAGAGTCGGAGGGAAGGGCCGGGAGACCGAATCAGAATAATCGGAATATGTATTCGTGCTGGCGGTTTCAGTTTCATGTATTAGGTATAGCGCTGTGAGCCATGCGGCTCTTGACTCGGGTGCAACCGCAACAAACAAAAACATGAACAAAGAGACATCTTAAAGTGACTACGCGCAACAGAAACATCCGGAGAAAAAACAGCAAAATCTTCAAGAAAAAAGCACCGTAGCGCTACAAAACTCTTTGTCAGATGTGCGGAAGATGCGGCGCCGCCACCACCACCGCCGTTGCCACCGTCACTGGCGTGCTGTTGTTTGTGGCCGTTGCGTGGCCCGCTGGAGGCCGCCGGTGGCCGCCATGCACGGCCCGGTTTAAATATAAATGAGAACTCCGTTGGCAGCCAGGGCGGGAGTCGGCCGCTCTGGCGGAGTGCAGGAATGCCGGGGCGTGTGCCGTCATGCCGACAACGGGTATATTTATAATACTCCGCCGCCCTTGGACACTGACTTTTAATTTTATTTTCGGACTTTTTTTTATTTTGGCCGCGCGGGTCAACCCCTCCTCCCCTGGAGGTGGTCACGCTCGGTGCTTTGAAGCCATAGCGACGTGAGACCAGATGATGATGATGATGATTCTCCTTGTTCTCCTTCTCCTCCTCCTTCCAAGAATGATGTCTTGAGACTTGGACTGGGGAGGAGACTGGGCCTCAGGATCAGAGTCCTGATTGAGACTCAGGGAGACCGGGTCTCAGGATTGGAGTCCAATTGAGACTCAGGGAGATCGGGTCTCAGGATTGAAGTCCAATTAGACTCAGGGAGACTGGGTCTCAGGGTCAGAGTTCAGGTTGAGCCTCAAAGAGACCAGGTTTCAGGGTCAGAGTCTGCGATGAAGATCGGGTTGGGTTTGGAGTCTGTATCTCGTTTGAGTGCTGAGATGTTAAGTACCTCGCTTGGTATACAGGAGGTCGTCAGTTCGATCCCAACCCTCACGCCTGCTCTATATTTGGAGTTTGCGGTGTCTCTCTCTCTCCCCGTGATTGAGACTCAGGGAGACCGGGTCTTAGGATTGAAGTCCAATTAGACCCAGGTAGACTGGGTCTCAGGGTCAGAGTTTGGGGTGAGACTCGGGGAGACCGGGTCTCAGGATTGGAGTCCAACTGAGACTCAGGGAGACCGGGTCTCAGGATTGGAGTCCAATTGAGACTTAGGGAGACCGGGTCTCAGGGTCAGAATCTGGTTTGAGACTCATGGAGACCGGGTGTCAGGATTGGAGTCTATTTGAGACTTAGGGAGACCGGGTCTCAGGATCAGAGTCTGGGTTGAGTTTCGGAGAGACCGGGTATCAGGATTAGAGTCCAATTGAGACTAAGTGAGACCGGGTCTCAGGGTCAGAGTCTGGTTTGAGACTCATGGAGAACGGGTCTCAGGATTGGAGTCCATTTGAGACTTAGGGAGACCGGGTCTCAGGGTCAGAGTCTGGTTTGAGACTCAGGGAGACCGGGTCTCAGGATTGGAGTCCAATTACCAGGTCTCACGGTTAGAGTCTTGCTTGAGACTCGGGGAGACCAGGTCTCAGGGTCAGAATCCGGGGTGAGAATCAGGGAGACCGGGTCTCATGGTCAGAGTCTGAGTTGAAGACTGGGTTGGGTTTGGAGTCTGTATCTCGTTTGAGTGGCGAGATGTTAACTACCTCGCCTGGTATACAGGAGGTCATCAGTTCGATCCCAACCCTCACACCTGCTCTATATTTGGAGTTTGCGGTGTCTCTCTCCCTCCCCGTGGTCATGTGGATTTTTCTCCGGGTCCTCCGGTTTTTCCTTCCACAGTTAGAACCAACATCACGTGGTTTTTTGGCCGCTACTATAGATGTCCACGTGACGACGACGATGATGATCAAGCCCACTTCATTGGGCTATCATTTGACAGCCAGGTCGCTTCTGGAAAAATAACGAGCTACTGCATAGCTCAGCGTGGGGCCTTACCTGGGCAAAATAGATACAAAAATTTGTTAAAATAGTTTTAGTTTAGAGCGAACGGCGACGTCCATCGACTCAAACCCCCCCCCCACCCAAAGCGGTGCAGGGGTCGAGGTGGCATCATCCGTAGCGCAGGAAGAGGGGCTGGCTCCCAGCGGCAGCAGCGGAGGCAGCAGCAGCAGAGGCAGCGGAAGCAGCAGAGGCAGCGGAAGCAGCAGAGGGAAAGGTCCGTGCGGGGTGGATGGCACGGATGGCATCGCGCGAATTCCGCGACGGGAGACAAAATAGATCGGAACCACGGAGCGAGCGCCCTGCCACTCTCTCCACTGGCACCGCACGCACACACAAAAATAAAGATCCCCCGTATAGCCTAAACAGACTGTTGGGGCAAGTGCTGTTAGCGAGCACCTATGAACGCCGGCAAGGCACACGGCGGGGTGGGTGGCCAGCACCACGCCCGGCCGCCTTTGTCTCTCCAGTGGCGATGTCCACACACTGCACCGGGTACTCATTTGAGGCTGAGTAGACCTAGGGGAGGCCCAGGATCTAACTCGGGTCACCGGGTTTTGTAGCGCAGCGCGCTAACCGCTACAATACCGCTCCCCACAGGCACCGCGACTGCGTGTGTGTGAGTTTGGTGAACTGGTCGGCATGGATACGCGACAGTCGGATATGCGACGTTGCAAACTGCTGTGATAATACTGCTAACGATTGTTATTGTCCGTTTCATAACCGGTTTGAGATTGCGAGGGTTGTGCGTGTTTGTGAAATTGCTCTCAGATCCACGACCCAAAAGAAAATACGCACACACGCACAAAGATAAACAAAGATCCCCCATATAGCCTTAACAGACTGTAGGGGCAAGTGCTGTTAGCGAGCACCTATGAAGGCCGGAACGGTACACGAGGGGGTGGGTGGCCATCACCACGCCCGACCGCCTTTATCTCCCCAGTGGCGATGTTTACACACCGCACCAGGTACTCATTTGAGGCTGAGTCGACCTAGGGGAGGCCCAGGACCGGTTCAGATAATCGTCACTGGTGTTGGCCGTGAGCGGGAATCGAACCCATGTCGCCGGGTTCATAGCGCAGCGCGCTAACCGCTACACCATCGCACGCACACACACGCGCGCTTATAGCAACACATAAACACAGCAATCTATATAAACACACGTGCACATACACACACACAAAGATCAGCACCTATGAAGGCCGGCACGGCACACAATGGGGTGGGTGGCCAGCACCACGCCCGGCCGCCTTTGTCTCCCCGGTGGCGATGTTTACTACACACCGCACCGGGTACTCATTTGAGGCTGAGTCGACCTAGGCAAGACCCATCAGGACCGGTTGAGATCATCGGCACCGGTTGTTGGCGGTGACCGTGAGCGGGGATTGAACCCTGGGCCGCCGGGTTTGCAGCGCCGCGCCGCCCTAACCGCTGCACCACCACTCCCCACTGAATATAAACGCGCACATACACACACACGGATACCCCGTGTAGCCTTGAACAGACTGTTGGGGCAAGGGCGAAGTGGAGTAGAATTTGACAATAACTATTAAATTCACACGGAAACTATATAAAAAAACTATAAAAACTAAACTATTTTTTGTTACTTGACCAGGTGCAAGGCCCCACTGAGATAGTGTGTAGCTCAGAAGCGACGTGGCCATCACAAATGACAGCTCAACGAAGAGGCGGCTTCTCATCATCATCATCATCACGTGGACATTTATAGCCGCCACATACTCCAAACGCGTGATTCTAAAGGTGGAGGGAAAAACCAAAAGACCCGGGGGAAAATCCACGCGACCATGGAGAGAGAGAGACACACAAACTCCAAATATACAGCGGCAGGCGTCAGGGTCGGGATCGAATACACGACCTCCTGTATACCAGGCGAGGTAGTTAACATCTCCTAGCCAC